AAAAATGGCCGGGCGGTGGTGGCACACGCCTTTAATCCCAGAACTTGGGAGGCAGAGGTAGGCGGATCTCTGTGAGTTTGAGGCCAGCCTGGACTACCAAGTGAGTCCCAGGAAAGGCACAAAGCTACACAGAAAAACCCTGTCTCGAAAAACCAAAAAAAAAAAAAGAGTTTGCCTGCCATGACCTAAGTAAGGCCGGGGGTTCAATCTCCAGCACTATCAAGTAAATAAATTAGGCTACCTTCCGTTTGGAAAATTACATTTGGGGACTGGAGAGATGGCTCAGTTAAGAACACATACAGTTCTTCCAAAGGACCCAAGTTTGAATTCCAACATCCACCTTAGCAGGCTCACTCTAGCTCCAGGGAGATCTGAGGCCTTATTCTGGACTCCACAGGCACCTACACTTATGCGCACAGGCACAGGCACAGGCACAGGCACAGGCACAGGCACAGGCACAGGCACAGGCACAGGCACAGGCACAGGCACAGGCACAGGCACAGGCACACGCAAAGCCAGGCAGTGGTGGCACATGCCTTCAATCCCACCAGGCAGAGGCAGGCAGATCTATGAGTTTGAGGCCAGCCTGGGCTACAGAGTGAGTTCCAGGATAGTCAGGGCTATATAGAGAAACCCTGTCTCAAAAACCCAAAACAATCAATTTTAAAAATGGTAATAAAAATAGGGCTAGAGAGATGGCTCAGTAGTTAAGACTTGTTTGTACTCTTCCAGAGTTCCTGAGTTTGGTTCCCTGAACCATGTCGGATAGCTCACAACCACTTGTAACTCTAACTCTAGGGGATCTGAAGCCCTGTTCTGATGTCTGCGTGCGCGGGCGCACATACACACACACATAAATCTAAAAGATATTAAGTATATTGTACTTATTCACTTATTTGCATGTGGGAGTGTGTGCCATGGAGTAAGTGTGGATGTCAGAGGCCATGAGGCTTGGCAGCAAGCATCCTTATCAGATGAACCACCCTGCAATCTTCAAACCCTCTTTCTGCAGTATTTTCCTAGCTGGAAAAGAGAACCATTCATTTCCTCTTGTTGGGGCTCACTAAGGTGATTGAGGTCATGGGTGCAAAGGTGAAAGGCTTTCTTTGCTCCATGGAATCTTGCTGGTTTTAGAACAGCCAAGTGCCCATCCCCACATGCTGACTCTGAGCAGAAGCCCTGAAGGGGGTTTCTGAGGATAATTTTTGCTGCCCAAAGATCTAAAGTCAACAGTTAATCTGAGCTCCAAACTGAGAATCCCAACAAGAAAGTCTTTCACAGTACAGAGGTCAGAGGCCGGGGGGCAGGTCACAGAAGGCCAACATTCCAACTCAGAACTCCAACCTCCACCTACAAATTGTGCAACTAAAAACCAGAGGATGACAGAAAGTCTGCCTCATGGACAGGAGATCCAGTCCTCACAAGAGTATCTCAAGACCTGCTTCTGGATATCTCCCCAGTGCCTCTAGACCTCTGTTTTCTCTTACAAAAGGGTTGTGGCTCAGTAGCAGAGCACATACACAGCATACATGGGCCTCAAATTCAACCTCTAGCATCACAAAACAAAACAAAACTTTATGCCTGGCGCTGGTGGCGCACTCCTTTGATCCCAGCACTCGGGAGGCAGAGCCAGGTGGATCTTTGTGAGTTCAGTGCCAGCCTGGTCTACAGAATGAGAACCAGGACAGGCACCGAAACTACATAGAGAAACCTGTCTCAAAAAACAAAAAAAAGCAAAACAAACAAAAAAATCAAAACTTTAAGCCAGGTGCGGCAGCTCACTTCTGTAATCTCAACACTTGAGAAGCCAAGGCAGGACCATTGCTATGAGTTTAAGCATCAGCTGAGCTACATATTCACTTATAAGCCACCCTGAGCTACAGTATGTGACCCTGTAACAACAAGCAAGCAAAATGAATCTCTTAAATATAATGTTTATACATTAATGAATCCTCTTAAATATAAAGTACATATTAATGTTATATGGTGCTGGGTGGTGGTGGTGGTGGTGGTGGTGGTGGTGGTGGTGCATGCCTTTAATCCCAGCACTCAGGAGGCAGAGGCAGGCGGATCTCTGTGAGTTCGAGGTCAGCATAGTCTCCAAAATAAGTTCCAGGAAAGGCACAAAGCTACACAGAGAAACCCTATCTTGAAAAACAAAACAAAACAAAAAAAGTTATATGGCAACATGTTGTATTATCACAAATACTATTACTTCAGAGAGCTAGTAAGTTGTACAATTCTTTTTTTGTTGTTTGTTTTTTTTTTTTTTTTTTTTTTTTTTTGGTTTTTTCGAGACAGGGTTTCTCTGTGTAGCTTTGCGCCTTTCCTGGAGCTCACTTGGTAGCCCAGGCTGGCCTCGAACTCACAGAGATCCGCCTGCCTCTGCCTCCCGAGTGCTGGGATTAAAGGCGTGCGCCACCACGCCCGGCTTGTTGTTTGTTTTTGAGACAGGGTTTCTCTGTGTAGTTTTTGGTGCCTGTCCTGGACTCACTCTGTAGACCAGGCTGGCTGCGAACTCAGACATCCGCCTGGCTGTGCCTCCCGCGGAGTGCTGGGATCAAAGGAGTGTGCCACCAACGCCAGGCTTAAATTTGGTACAATTCTTTAACAGACTCTCTAGAACTGGAAGAATCTCTGGGAATGGAGGAGGATACTTTGTTTTTCTAGAGAATGAGGTTGGGTCTTTGGATGCTGGAGTCTGGATTCCTGATCACTAATATCTAAGTATCTCTGATGTGCTGCACCTTCTTCTAAAGACCTTGTACACTGTCTCGTTTAATAGCTACAATGATTTCATAAGGAAACTCTTGTTGGGGTACACTGCATAGTGCAGGTCAGTTGAAGAAAGAAGGCACTCCCAAGATGAAATTTTAAGGCCTGTGGCAGCAAGAAGGTCCCGCCTCTTCTGATGGACTGAACCCCCAAAACAGCCATACAAAGGCATATTTATTGATTATTACACAAAGAATTTCCTCATACCAAGGTCCCTAATCTTAATATACATGTCTTACTGAAGAGCATCACATGCCTCCTCGACTCCAGTTTTTTATTACGTATCCTGTGCAATACATGCTAATACAAGAACCTCAGGTGTGCCTGAGGCGTCTTGTGACCAAAGTCATGGGATGGCTGCAAAGTCTCTTCAGTAAAACACAATTCTACAGACAACAGGAAACAATCACTGTTTTCCATAAGGATTCTTCTCTAAAAAAAGTTGCTCATTCTAATATCTATCCCATACAGTGCTTCTGCTAAACTCCGACCACATTTCCTCTCACAGGCTCTAAGATCCCTTATTGGTGGCTTGCTCAGGGAAGAGAAAGCTGAAGCTCTGAGGGTAGGTGCTGACTCAGGGAGACGCAGCTCATGCAGGGCCTGGGTTGGACAGAGTACACTAAGGTCCATGTTAAAATGGGCTGGAAGCCCGCCGACACAGTTCTACCCGACTTGTCCTACATCTACAGAAAAGTTACCACTCCTTGGGGACAGGATGGGTCCCTGGGCTGTGTTATATATTTTGATGACATGATTCTAGTTAATGCTAACCACAGCCCTGCAAGATCTGCTTTCAGTCCCCATTTTACAGAGGAAGAGATAAAGACACAGAGAGGCAGAACAACCTACCTGGGGTTGCCCAGCCAGAAAGCCAAGGGCACAGACTTTCAGGTTTCTGGGTTAAGCTTTGGTCTGCAAACCATCTTGGTTAAGATTCATTTCCCGGCACTCGGGAGGCAGAGGCAGGCGGATCTCTGTGAGTTCGAGGCCTGCCTGGGCTACAGAGTGAGTTCCAGGAAAGGCACAAAGCTACATAGAGAAACACTGTCTTAAACAAAAACAAACAAACAAAACAGCCCCCCCCCATTTGTTTCCCTGGCTAGACTGGAGACAGCACTTGACCAAGACCTCTGCCTTTAGCTGTTGTTCATTTTTTTCTTCTTCTTCGAGACAGGGTTTCTGAGTATTGCTTTGCACCTTTCCTGGAAATCACTCTGTAGCCCAGGCTGGTCTCGAACTCACAGAGATCCGCCTGCCTCTGGGATTAAAGGCGTGAGCCACCACCGCCTGGTGCTCGCTGTTGGTCTTGAGATAAGGTGTCTACTATATGCCTCACTCCCATCAAAGTCCCCAGAGGCAGACACAGAATAGAGGGGTCCTCAAACTTTTTTTTTTTTCTTCACTGCTGCCCTCTGGAGAACCTGGCAGCCTCCACTCTGGGATCCCAGGGTCATGAATGATTCTCACACGGCAGGCAGACAGGCTTGACTGGCAGGATGGATTTTATCAAGTCTTTTGTCTGTGCTTTGTGCGATCAGAGGAAAGGTCTCAAGAAATGACACCTGAGGTTTAAGACTGCATCAGGAGGGAGCCTCCGCTTCACTCACAGAAGACAAGCTGCTAATAACATTCAATACCCGCGGGAGACCTCAGGGTTCAGAGGCACCAGGAGGAAAATGCTACCGACCAAATCCCTAACCATTATCTCAGGAACTTAACTGGGATCAGAGCTTCCCTCCAAGCCAGTACAACTGGTTTTGCCCAGCACTTCCCAGTCGGCCTGGCCACATCCTGGATCCTACCTAGCTAGCTCCCAACAATAAAGGCTTTCCAACAAACACTGGGCTTTTCCTTCTCTTCTTGTGTAATGTGTCAAAGGCCCTTATTTAACTAAGCAATGAGGTTAGAAGCCACCATGCATAGGAGTGGGTGAGTTCAAAGGCAAGATAAGCGCTGCTCGGCTCCCGAAACTCTGCTCCGAGGTTTGGGAACTCATGGCTGGAAAGGAAGAAAGTATCCTTTCCGTTCAATGTTGCCCAGTGCTGATGTGGACGCGGCCAGAGTGGGCTGGGGAGGTGGAGCGAGACCTGATTCTCTGAAAACCCGCCAGCTCTGCTGCAGGGGCATGCATGTGGAAAGGGCAGGTACGGAGATCTCTGCCCCACCTCCCAGCTTCAGTTTCCCCATCGTGCAGGGAGAGTTGGAATTGCCCCCCGAAAGACTCTCCGGAGAGATCTTGAGGCCTGTGTTCTACATCACAGTGCTCTCTGCAGCTTTCCCGAGGGTCGCGAAGCTGGAGAGTCGGTGCGGAGAGTAAACTGAGGAACGACTGCAGCTCCGGCGACCGCCTGCGCCCAAACAGCAGCGTCTGGCCGGGCAGCGGTGCATCGGGCTGGAGACAACGGTTCGCACGGGCGGAGCAGCGAGGCCACTTACCGGCATGACTGAAGCGGCACGGGAAACGACGGCAGCGACGACTGGAGCGCTGGAGCGCCTCTCCGGTACAGCAACGCGGATCTTCCGGAGAGCGTTCTTGGAAGCCCTACCTTTAGGCCGACCCAGCCTCGGCTAGGCCCCGCCCTAGGGCTGGGCTCCGCTTAGTCCCCGCCCCTTCCGGGTTCAGCTACGGCAAGGCTCCGCCCTCTGAGGGAGGCTCTGCTTACTTCCCGTCCCTTCTGCCCAAATTACAGCTCGGCCCCGCCCGCTGGGCTGGCCTTCACCGAGTTCCTGCCTCTTTCTTGCCTGGATATATTAGGCCCCGCCTCTTTGGAACAGGTCACGAGCCCTCCGGAGGGGTGCAGAGGGAATGGATTTTTTTTTTTTA